AAAAACACGTCGGGCAATAACAGTGCAGCTTCAGTGCATTTATAGCGGACAGCTTCTCATCAAAAGAGTGCGACTACGTTGTGCCACCGAGGGGAGAAACCGACGCGCACCCTTATCTTAATTTCTGTTCCGAAGTATATGTTATTTCACGCGGTATTCGATTCCAGCTTCGGGCCAACCCACTACGGTAAAGATTTGGCGGCACATGCTTACGCACGCTGTTATGATTTAGATTTATAAATTAAATTTTTAATACACAAATAAACAAACAAATAGTTTATGAATAGAAATAAACAGTGAAAAAAAAAATAATAAATGCTTAGCCTGGAGTTTTATTTTATTTGTACGACCGGTTTTCTAATTAAAATGTCATAATCAGGTATACGATCGTACTCGAGTGTACTAAGTCAATAAAATCATGACTCTTTTTTGTTTTATCGACTTTATATATACCTTATGATGAATTTTTAATTCGAATCCGATCGTACTCGACAAACATAATAATATTTTGGGCTAAGCATTTATTAATTTTTTTATTTACCATTCTATATACAATTTCTATATACAAACTGTTTGTTTATTTATATATTGATTTATGATTATTAACCGTTTACTAATACTTTATTATTTTATTATTTAATAATCTTCTGGGCAATGTGTACAACATATAAAAAACGTATGAATATTTAAATAACAATAATCAACCGATTATGATATTATTATATACCATAACATGTTTTTCGCGTGGGTTGATAATGTTTTGCCTGTCGAAATTAAAAAATTAAAAACCATTACCGGTTAAATTATACGAGTGCAATTAAATAAAATAGTACGTTACAATTGCAAAATATTAATCCCGGGAAAAATTATTTTCCCGAATTTAAGCATAACATTAACGTTTTTGTGTGTACATTTCCGTGCGTAGTTATGCCGTCGTCGATTTCGTTAAATCTCACACCCGGTCAAACCGCAACAAAACTCGGTTTGTGTGCGCAGCTCTACCCTTCGGAGACGTATATGGCATACAGTTCATTTGTAAAAAAAAAAAAAAATGATTTCATTAAATATCTAATATTTACCATCAACGGTTCGCTTGATTTTTTTAATTGTTCACCATCGCAACAGCACAGGGCATTTCCTCATGAGTGATTTTCATGCCATCGATCGATTTCGGAGGCGAAGGATTCCCCAGGCATCTTTTGGAAAATCATGTCGAAACGATACGAGTGGACACACACACAAGGAATTCTCTATCGAAGTGCGTTTGACTCACGGGTACAGTTTACGAGGGTTCTGGCGAAGATCGTTTGATCCTCGTCGTGCAGAAATGTTTACGTATAGTATAAAATATTCATTCGGATGCCGGGCAGAATACCGTTTTAACCGTTGTTTACGTCTTTACGCTTGCGCGCGGCACCGTAATCGCACGAAGGTTGGTTTATTCGCACTGAGTTTCGGCGTGTGAATCGTTTCAACGCAAATATTATATCATATATTGTTCAACGTGCCGCTCAAAAACGACCGAACCAAACCAGAACTCCAAAACTATAGCGCGTATGGCTTACAGTTGGAATCGGTCATCATTCGATTTCAGCGGAATCGAAAACATTAGCGTTGCGAGATCGTCACCACCGACGATTCGGAGTTCAGACGATTGCGGTCCTGGAACCAGACCCCTAGCGATTTTGAACCACTCCAGTACAGGGGCTGGAAACCGATTAGCCTTGACAAAGCGAAAAGTCCCGTACAATAACTTGTGTACAAATTACGCATTGTACGTCCACGCGTTCAAAAACGAATAACCGTCGACAACGTTTAATCGTATGACGATCGCGCATTAGACGCATGGAACGTGAAAATCGTGGTTCGTTAAGTACGGTGTGATCCACATGTATCCTCCGTTTGTTTGTTTTCGTCGAACACGGTCATAGCCGCTGGCCGATCGTTTTCGATAGTAAAATGCCAACGAGAGCAACAAGCGTAACGCAATCGGCGACCGACCGTTCGTAAACCGAACCAAACGTTATCCATTTTCCGCAGGACCTTAGCAAGAGAGTAGCGGAGATTCCTATGGCCCGGGCGCAATTCCTGAGAGATGGTAAAAATGAAAATCTTGCGTTTTATGTTAAAAATTACAATGTTCAAAATCACATATTTCGTTTACAAAATGTTTAACATCCTTCATATTAATTAAAGCAATGGTTGAAAATAATGTCTAATAAACGTAATATATTAAATATATATTAAATTTTAAATTAAAAATACGTAAGGGTGCATTTTGAAGTTTTGCCTCAGGCGGAATGTTTGGTTGCTACGGCACTGACTATCCGTAGGACCACGACCGTGCTGTTTTCGATATTCTTCTTCCGGTCCGCGGTGTGTCGACCGGATCCGACGAGCACAAAAACGTGCTCGACATTTCCGTTTTGAACACGACACGCGGGTCCCTTGAAACTGCACCCGTGGGCGATCTATTGGGAACCATTTTGCATACACAGTTGAATTAATCGAAATGCAACTGTCAACTTCTCCCGGGTGCGCCTTACCTATTTTATAGTATCACGTCCGGTTGTGCTGTGTTTGTACCGTACACGCTGTGTGATGTGGGTATATGCACACTATATTGATAGTTTAGGACTGACGTCTGATTATGGTAATAAAGACCAGTGTTGCAGGTAATTTTTAGCTTTATCTCTCTTCTCCGTGAACGAAATCGTGGTCATAGTACAAGTTTTCCGCTCAGGTACGGTGTTCGCGCGTAAAATCCGTCACCATTTTACAAAAGCGTTAAACTTTTTAGAACGCTTGGTGTACGAATATCTGCATGGTACTCTTATTATTATTATTACTATATTCACAAACATTGAGAGAGATGGTGGGACGGCTGATAGGGAAGGGTAGAACGAGAGAAACAGAAAGGGTCAATCGACTCATTGTCATCATCTACGTCTGTACGTCGTAACTGATAATAATTTAAAATATACTCGTGGGAATCGACGTGGTGGTCAATTATGTATTACACTCAAAAGGAGTGTTTTTTTTTCCTCACCGAACGCCAATAGTGGTAATATGTTTTTACAATCGAAAAATTTGGGAGCGTTTATCAACCGTCAGTCGTGACACGACAATACACTACGGGCAAAACAGAAAAAAAAAAAAAAACAATGCCATACATTCTGGTCTTTTTCGGTATTGTTGTGTATATAATATATAATACAATTCAATCTATGTATCAACGAAAAAAGTACGTTAAATAGAAGTTTAATTAATTGTTAAAAACATTAACTTTTTTTTCCACTTAAAAAAATTTTTATTACTGAACGAGATGTATGCGAATTTCAACGTGCAATTATATGTCTTATGAATTCAAATGGTACACAATTAATAATGATGATAACTGGACGTCCAGTTAGTACGTTAGTAGACATTGTGATACGCATAGTTCTATATTATGCACTCTGATACATTTTTATGTATAATGTTAATGATTATTTTTAAAAATTTTCAAACATTTAATTTGGTATATTTCCGGTACACTGAAATCCACAAGACGAATAATTTTACTGAAAATAGCTTGTTATTCCCGAAACATTATTTTGCCATAATTTTGAAAGCTCCAAAGTAAAAAATTTATTATTATACAAAAATAGTATAAAATTACGTTAGGTAGAAACTTTTATATATATAAAAATGTCATTGTTTTTTAAACATTTTTGCGTAAAGAGTTCTTTAAATAGAAGTGCGTCAAATAGGAGTTCGACGGTATAATAGTTCCTCTGTTCTCTACGTTTATAATTGTAATTCGTATTATACAAAAACTATCCGTATACGCTACGGTATAATATATATTAAACACGGGTTGACCATTACTGTTCAAATAAGTAAATTGCATTTCTACATAGCAAATAAATACGAAGTTATTATTATTATTTTATTAAGTTACAGTACTGTTATAACATAATTTAAACAAATTTGGATGCCTCTTCCTTATGGATTTTATTAAAACATTTCTCATTGACAAACAAATAGCTTTATTCTACCAAAGTTATTGTTGTTTTCTAAGAGGCTTTTTTTTCAGCAAAAGTTTAACATCAAAAGTTCACCCTAAATTATTAAGAGAATCAAATCTGCTACTATATCAATCATCCACAGAAATATAAACTAATACACCAAGATTATCTAAACCAGAATCGTTTTTTTACGAGACCAACGGAAACATTGGTTTAAAAATACTAAAAAAACTAGTTTAAAATACTAATAGGTATAGAAATATTATTTACCTGTTTCTGTATCTCACCCAATAACGAAATCCCATCTAACCTATGAGTTTTATCCTTTTTTTTTTTATTATTTTTTGTAATGCGAATTAATACATACATTATAAAAAGAAAAATTTGTCTCCAAAGCTTCAGGCTTGGTCAAGAGACAATAGTTCACATTTCTGATTTAATCTTTAAGTATAACATACGAGTGTTGTGTAAAGTATATAATATTTAATAACGGTGTAATACAATATTGTATATAGAATTGAATAGTATTGAAAATTGTATGAAAGATTTTATTGAACAAAAATAAAACACAAAAATTAACCACCTTTGTGCGGGCCATAAAAAATTGCTTCGCGGGCCACATGCGGCCCGCGGGCCGCGGGTTGCCGACCCCTGGTGTAATGGAATATTAATAAAAATTAAATTGTAGATTTTAATTTCAGGTCAAACTAATTAAATACCTGATGATGACCAAACGACTACTATAATACATACATTATCCTCTCCATTTAAAGTTACTAGCATCATAAATAATGCCACAAGTAGTACTCCACAACAATCACATTATAACACTGGTTTGTTTATATTATTATGTAGGTTTTTTATTTCATCAATTTATTATTTGTCTATTATTTTTTAGAAATTCTTGATAAACTAAACCGAAACATATTAAACATAAAATATGATGTGAAATCTTTGAATGAAAAAATTGATAAGCTGGAAAATCTAATAATGAATATAAGATCTAATTCATCTGTATGCACTAATGAAAATGACAATACCCATGATCAAGATTCATTTCAATATATTATCAACAAAAATTTACCTTTGGAAGACGAAGATTCTCTTCAAAGATTTGAAGATAAACTTGTAGACCAAGGCTTTAGGACTCAAATGGTAAAAATGTAGATTTTAATTAAAAAAAAAAGTATTCAACTGTTATTCTTTAAAACTCAAGCTATTCTAAAACAAGTAAATAACTTTTTTAGGTTAATGAACTTAGTCGAATTGTCCGTAATACTCTTCCAAGCACCATAAGATCAATGATGCGTTATCTTTTTAAATATGGTTTTTTACAAACATACCGCTATAAAGGGCAAAAGAAGAAGAAAATATTTTCAACATTAACAACGTTTTCCATTATATTTGGTAAAAAAAAAAAAAAAATTTGCTTTACTTTATTTAAAATAAATATATTAACATCAATAATGCTTATGTTTTTAGATTCTGTGAAAAAAATGAAGAGATACCAGAAGTATGATAAAATCGATGTAGAACAACCAATCAAAATTGTCATTGCTGGTGCTAAGTTTAGAAGAAACAAGCCTTGTCAAGAACAATCATCAGATATTTAATAATTTATGATTTAATAAAATAAAACTGAATTATAACAATGGTGGTACTCATGTTTGTAAATAAAAAATATATTTGTTTTTTTTAAGGAACTCACATAATGAATAATAAAGAGGATTTAAAAGAAAAAATAATAATTTTTTAGTTGTTACTTGTTTGGTTTCCTAAAATTACTTTTAACTATAGCTATTAATTTCTTATTGAACAAAAACTAATATTATAATATCATAAATGTTTATTTATAAATATTTTTTTTTAATGAAAAATTAATATCATATTATGAAGGTTAAAAAATATTTGACTAACAATAGTAAAATATTATTTATATATTGACCAAAATAAATTATTAATAAAATAATTTTAAATTCTTTTGAATTAAATATTTGATAAATAATCTTATAATAATGTCACATAATAATGTTATTATATTATTATTAAATTAATAGTTTATAAATATTACATAAATATTAATAATATAATGTAACTTCAGTGGCCAACCATTATTTTATTGACATTATTATAACATTTTTGTAACTAATTTAATGGATGAAAAAAATGTTAATTTAATTATGTACAGTACACACAAAATATTTATATAATATCAAATAAATATTTTCTTGCTATCTGGGATATCATACTTATTATGGAATTGTATTGATGTGTGAGAATTTTTCGATACATTAAATTGCGATCGAATTCGAAAAGTACGGGTTTAGAGGGTAGGTGTGGGCGATGGACAGTAGGTCATTCGCAGCACGCGATGTGCTTGAACCGGACGCTTACCATTACCGAGAGTGGGAGAAGTCAAGACTATATTGGACATGCAATACGCCCGTTCCACCTCGGGTTATCTGAGCCGAAATCAAGTTTTATTTTTCGCCGAAAGACTGTTATATAGACTAGTGGTCTTCAACCGGTGAGTCGCGACCCAATTTTGGGTCGCGATAAGTTTTCTGTTTAAAATTTAAAAAATTCATATTTATATATGAGACCGCGAGGGAAAGAGAACGCGAGGAAGACCCAGGAAAAGGTGGTTGGATGTTGTGAAAGAAGACCTTGAAAGATTGGGAGTACAAGAGTGAAGGGAAGTAGTACAGGACCGTGAAAAATGGAGAGATATTGTGATGGCGGCCAAAACACTTAGAGTGCCAGAGGAAGAAGAAGAAGAAGAAGAATATTGTAATTTTAAATCTAATACCTAACACATTAAATATGTAACATCTAATAGCTAATAATATTTGCTGTTGAAACCTCAATTTTCAAATAAAAGAAAAAAAAATAATAAACAATCAAATGAAGTGATAGCCCTACTTAATTTATAAATCTCATTTATATTTCATATATCTATAAACTGCATTGTGTTAAATTGAGCTGAGGTGGAGGTATTTCGAGTGAAAACGATTCAGGAAAAATATCGCACTCATTTTTTTTGTGTGTCATTACTCATATTAAAAATTAAATATTTCCTAAATACCTAAAAAATATAATTTTTGATTTATTCAATTATAAAAGCACTTTTAAAATAGCATACATCAAACAATTTTAACTTTTTTATTTGGTTTTCATGGCTAACGAAATTTACATGGGTCGCGAAAAATGTTTGGTAAGAAAAGTGGGTCGCAAGTCAAAAAAGGTTGAATACCACTGGTATAGACCGTGCAAATAGCCCACATATATACGCGCAATATATAAAAATATTTATATTACATTATATAGGAATATAGATTAGGTCACGGCAAGTAGACCGACGTGACGAAAATATTAGTTCATTTCCAGTTCGATTAAAGACCGAAGTCGTAAACTTAATATCAAAATACATAGAGAACCGTGTGTGTGTGTCTGTGTGTACTTGTTTATTTGTTTGTCCGTGCGCACGCCCGTGTTTGTGCATGTGTGACCTTTAAATTGCCTTCTTACACATAAACGAGGGCATGTGAAAGCGACGGTTAGATTAAGAATAAAAAAAGAAAAATAAATTAAAATACTACAATTTTAAAGAAAAAAGTTTTAACGACGAGAGGAACGTCAACAACGATAAAGCTGAGGGGAAAAAAACGTTGTTAATCTAGAGTAAAAGATCATAGCGGGCGATATGAATAATTAAGTGATAATTATGACCAAGTTCTTCTCGTCATCGTCGTTCTTTTTTCACCCTTAGTAGCAGCGTACACATTCTCTACCGTGACACCGAAAAACTCGAGAAAAAATTAGTTTGTTTTAAAACTGGCATTAGTTTCACTCTTTTTTTTCATACTTCCAGATCGGCTGCTACTGCGGTGTTGAGAATCATTCATTATTTAGAATGTCATATAGCTACCACGCGTATAAAGACTTTTTGAGCTTGTTTATCTGTCTTATTATTCTGGGGCTTATCTTGCAGTTTCTGAGTACAGAATTAACAGAGCGTCCTAAAACTTAACTGGTATTTTTCCTCTCTGATACCGAGTTAAGAAACCACTTTTTTTTTTTATATATATATTCATAAACATTTTTTTCCTACTTCACCCCCGTGTGTATACGCTTATATAGTATACAAAGAGGTTAAGCGTTTTATCCACTTGTAGTCCTATATACTTATGTATATACAACTTAAAAGTTATTTTCTAATTATTGACAGTAAACCTTCAAGAATTTCAACCCAGGTGACATAAAGAAAATCGTCTGACGGCCATTAGCGCTAGATACAAACGTGTTCATGAAAATTGCAATTTTTAATTAGTTACAAAACTCCTGCAATATAATGTTGAGTGACGTTTTTTTTTTCAAACTCCCATTTCATTTTATTTGATCATCTCCTTTTCAATATAAACGATTGTCGTTCTCCTATAAACATTAATTGTAAACGCAATATCAACGTGTCCCTGACAATAAAAAAGATTGAACACAAATAACCAAAAGTGATTTTCTTGTATTCATAAAATATAAAATAAATAATTCGATCGTTTTAATTTTTATTTTTTAGTATAAATGGCGTATCGTTTGAATTTAGAAGTAGAATATAAATTTATATAAAAGGATCTCTAAGAATAATTCTATCCCGTCCGATGCACACAATATTTGCATAATTCTTGTTGATGTGTGGATATAATATGGGATTTTCTATTTTTTTTTAAATCTAAACTTTTCAAATCGTAAACAAAACTTTAAATCACATAACTATATATTATATTTATTTCCACCATTAAAAGAAGAAAAAAACCGTGTGCAATTTATCGTACATTGTAGCGTTTCTAAGAAGTTTTTTTTTTTTTATTTCTGTAAATCTTGAGTTTCATCTGAAAAGGGGATTCTTCCTCTTCATTCTTTGCTATTTCCGCACTAAGATGATCGAAATTGTATCATTATCGGCATGGGAGAACATTTAGTCTAGCGCTTGAAATTTTCTTTTCCCTTGCTTAAAAGAAATAATCTCTTTATCGCAACATAATTTTCAATTTTTGACCTATTCTCGCTAACCGAATTGAAACATTTATTAATGGAAGTTTTTAATAGAAACTTTACACTTAACAGCAAAGTTTAGTTCACCAATTTTTCCATAAATGTGTTTTTAATAACTATATATATATATATATATATATATATACTTGATTCAGTAAATGTAATTTTTGTTTATTATAATATCATAGCATTATTACAAACAAAAATGTAAATAGTTATAAATAGTTATTCATAATATTTTTTTCTTTTGGATGCTTGTTTTACATTACAGTTCTGATGCAAAGTATATTTTATATAAATTGACATTTCAGGATGGATAAACGATCCAAGTACGGATTATGTGCTTTCTTTTGAACCACATAAAATTATATTTTTCGCCTATTTTTAAAGATGCTATAATATATTATATTTATTTCATTGAATACATCTCTTTTGCACTTTTTTTACGATTTTAAAGCCATCAATTTTCAGATAATCAATATTTAACCATAATAAATTCTACGCCAATAGCCGGCTAAAAATGACGAATTGTTATTTAACGATGACAACGGTCCAGCGGGTTCAAGTGAAAAGTGATATAGGAGGGAAAAAATCGTATTTTCCACGGGGACACACACAAAATGTTGGTTTGAGTGTTTTTCTATTGTGGAAGAAAAAGTTTTAATATCATTGTGTATTTTTGGTCGTTGTTATAGAAAGATAAATATATTTAGAGCAAGAGAGAGAATGAAAGAGAAAAATAGAGAGAAAGAGGGAAAGAGAGAGAAATAGAGAGAAATAGACGAGGGGAGAATATTATTTTGATAATATTTGTACACAGAATGTAAGAGACACTGGAACGAAAACGTGTTAATATAATTTTAGTAAGTTACAATTATTAAAAACTCCGAGTACCAGACATTGCTTATATGAGAGTAAAAAAAAATACGATCGAAAACTTTGATACGTCAAATAAAGTCCTGTGAACTTTGATTGAATTTCTAAGATTAGATGTATAGAAAAACGGGAAAATATAATACATAATATACAATACGAACGTACGGCAGTTATGATCCACCATATATATTGCAACATATATAATGGTCATTGGTTTTCGGTTTCTATTTTTTGGAAATTTCAAATGGATGGGAGCTGTATGCATGTATATATTATATGGTGTGCTGTCGTTTGATATTCGAAAAGTTTAATTTAATATCAAAAAATATACATCAAACGTTAGCAATAAAACGCAAACAATTTGACACGTCAAAATAATGTACATTCATCTCTGCACAACATAATATTAATAAAACCCACCGCGCTTGCCATATACTGCGCGTTATTTGTAAAACGTAATTTAATTTTAAGCCCTTACGGTTTCGAGTAGACGATGTGCAATCAGCTGCTTTCCATAAATCATCCAAATATTTAGCGATCCTATTTTAACGTCGGATACGCTTACAGTCAGTATAATATAATATAGTAAAGGGCTATTCGTTGTAGCCGTGTTTTATATTAAGTGCATTTGATGTCCGATAACAGTTTACAATAAACGTGTACGCGTCCGAATAACTGCTTTGTTCTGAAGAACGTTCACAAACGATCGTTTTATATTAACAAATG